CCACGGCCTTTTCGTCAGCCACCAAAACACCATGTTGATAATTTTTTGACTTGCTTGCCAACTGCTGCTTGGTCCTTGACTTGCCACTCGTTGCTCGGTTAGTTGCACCTCAAGCAAAAATGGGTAAAATACATGCTCAAAGGAAAAGCAGTTAAGAAAAAAGCTTTCTCACCCTTCCCTTTCCCCTTCAAACTACCTCTAAAATGCAAAGCAAACTGTGAATTTCTACGCCATAACCGTGCCCTTCCTTTGGAAGCAACCTAAGAATTGCGAATTGAGAGAAAGAAATGTTCACTTTACTTTCAACACGTCTTAAGTGTGGGCATCCCTCGTATCTTCACCTTACGAATCGCACCGTACGTAGTATAAAACAGAAGCATTTAGGGTACGATAAAGTTGAACTTCAGTCATTACGGAAGTGGAACTGATGGTCATGGTTCAGGGAAACAATGCGGTGTGAACAATTTTTAAAAGCTTTGAAAGATAGCTTGCTTACGTGCAGTTTTTTCAAGTTCGGTAGTTGAATGGCAAGGACTTCCTCAAAGTACCAGAGATAAGTGAAGTTGTGTGGGGAGGGAGTGGATTAACCACAACTGGCGACTACAGTGTTTGATGAAAAACAGCGGATATCAGTCAGTTTAGCCAATTCAAATACCGTGAGGTCAATAATAGGGTTAAAATATTTGTTTCATATAATTGTGGACTTCGGCCATCATCGTGCGGCATTCGATTGCGAACAGTCTCAATGATTCACTGTACTAACTGTCATGCCTTGTTATCCAGAACCTGATATACGTGGAAAGGGAAGCCATTTGGCTTTTCAATCGGTCTGTTCATAACCAAAAATTGCATAATGATTCGCATCAGACTCGCTGCGGGATGAAGATAACCAATACATGAAAGTAGATAAAAATAGGAGATGGGATCTCGCTCTTAATGCCCAGAGGCTAGAACCACTTTACTGAAACAAAGGTATATTGCATAATAAAAATAATCAGCAGAATTTATGATATTGACTCAGCATTTAAATAACTGACAATAAAAATGGCAGTGAGGACCACCACTGCCTAGTCTCAATGTCCAAGTTCGTATGTCTCACGTAATTTGTCGCTTCAAGCTTCCACATCGCTCTTAATTCATTGTCCCATCTGAGCCGAAGTCTTTTAGTTCAGCGCTTGGAGCCCATTTGGTACCAATCCAGCCCCATTGGTCATTGCTGAGATCCATTTCTCATCTGTTAGTCGTGCGATATGACCGACTCACCGCTGTTATTCTCATTCGTGAAAATGCTAGAAAGTTCTGCATTTCCATGTGTATTATTATTGCTCTATTTTATAGTCTGTTCCTGATAGAAATTCCTATCATCCAGTATTGCACTTTTGCATTAATTCTGAAGCCTCGAAAACTCAATGTGCCTCTAACCGCAACTGATAACTTTCTTTCTTCAAGAACGTCAGCGCTTCTTCTGCATCTACTCTACGCCGAACCATAGACGTTGTGACGAGCTATGGATCAAGTGATTTGTTCAAGACCATTAGCTGCCCAAAATAAACACATTCGGTGGCTTCCTCCTTTCAGCTATCGTTGACAGCAAATGTAGCCTCGTTTCTTATGATTTTAGCATGATATAACATAGCTTCTTCATCGCTTGCCTTAATCCCAAACAGTACTCAGCAGATC